GGCCGCGGCCGGGGTCCGACCAGAGGCGTCCAAGGAAAAGCCCCGTTACCCAAGAAACTTGAAGGCAGCTTCCACCGCCCTGGGAGGCTTTCCGGAGTGTGTGTTTGTTTGTTTTTAATCGAAGTCCGACAGATTTTGACCCCCACTGAGGTCCTCAACCCCGCTTTTCGACTACCAACAGAGACCTGTCCACTTGCTCCTCAACAAGCCAGGCTGGATCAGCCCAACGCTGCAGTGTGGCAGGAAAGACTGGCCTGGCAAATACCTGACTGTCGTTTCCTTAACTGTGGAAATATTCATGGTCACAGCTGTCGCCTTGTGTCTGGGCGTTGTTGCCCCTTTGAAGACAGAATGCATTCTTGCGTCTCTGAGGCGCTCTAACAGGCTTAGGACGCTGCTCTCCTTTAGGACAAACCGACTGCCATAACAAAACTGGTCACACATCAGGAGCACTTCTAGGGGCAAGCGACCTGAGAAACACCCAAGAGGCCTATGGTAACCGGGCCCACCTCACTTTAGGCCCCAAGATATATCCAAAGCTACACTTCCTTCCTCCCAGCTAGACAGGGATCTCAGAAGTATGGTTTTAGCCATCAAGTTTGCTGAAATTCTTGGCGAGTAAAGGGGCCAGGATGTCCTGCGTTTTTAAACCGTTTTCCTCCTGCTCAAGCTGGGCAGAAAAGGATGTAAAGATGCGCAGTCCACCTTTCAGTTTAATCACCCGCTACACACACTCCCCCAATGTCTACGTATGGCCTTGCTAAACACCAAAGAATCTGTATGTAGGGAAACATTACCACCCTCATTAATTTACACTTTGTAAAATGTAAAGCTCCTCTAAGCTGGATATGCTGGAGGGTTTGAGTGGGCACTTTTGTGGGTCTGCAGTATGAAAGAAACAACACTGTCTAGTGGCACAATGCCATTAAGTAAATTTAGTTTAACAAAAGAAATAAACATGTCAGAAAAAAAAAAAGTAAAGCTCCTTACAAATGTCAGAAATTCTTAGTAAAATTAAATAACATCTATACAAAATTCTAGTGCCAAAAAAGGCACACAAGAAATGGGGGGGGTGGGGCGCATACACGATAGATTTTAAACTTTTTTTCTTTAGAATTCAACTGTAGGAAAACATCAAACTTAATTGTAACCAAGAAATATCCATATATGGTATGTAAACATCAATTAAGGCTTCAACAAAGTACCATATATTTTGTAACTCAAAGCTATATGAACTACAACAGGGCATTCTTCAAAGTAAACCCTTACTCTTTTCATTCTTTTTTTCCTGCCTAAAAATGGTCTAAATCATTTGTTTTAAAGTAAAATCATGTATGATTGTTTTGTCTTTGGACACTCTTATTTATTTGCTTAAGAATGGTGATTATGAACAAACACCATTTTTTAAATTTTGGTAGAAATGTTTTATTTAAAAGGTGGTTGTAGAAGACCTTTCAGATTGTCTTCACAATTTAATAAAATGTACAATATGGATAACTTGCATAGATCAAGGTGGGGTGTCTTTAATGACACCTAAATCTGGGGGTAATATCTACAAATGCACTGACGTCTGTACCTTTTTCTCATTTATCATTCTTATATCAACCCCAATATGTATTTTAAGTGCTAGATGACAACAATTTGTCACCAAACTAATATATTTGATTATAGTTTTAATTTTGCCATGGTTTTAAACAATGATATCAAGCAAAAATATTCCACATTGAGAATGCTTTGCTTCAAAAATGATAATCAAGCAGGTGGGAATGTGGCTCAGTGGTAGAGTGCTTATATAGCATGCTGGAGGGCCGGGTTCTATCCTTAGTACCTTAGCACCTCCCCAAAAGGAAAAAAGATCAATAAAAAATTGAGATTATGCTTTATTTCAGTGAATAACAGAATCCCTTTGAAATTGTACTTTTTTTTAATTAAAAAAGAATTGTGGTACTGGGGATTGAATCCAGGAGAACTCTACCCCTGAGCCCTTGTTTATTCTTATTTTTGAGTCAGGGTGTCCCTAAGTTGCCTAGGCTGTCCTTTAGCAATCCTTCTGCCTCAGCCTCCCAAGTCACTGGAATTAAAGGAGTGTGCCACCCTGCCCGGCCTATAAATGATATTCTAAATAGCTAAATTAAACTGTATCTAAACTGAACTATGTGTTAAACTGTATAGTTATTTTAAGTATTTAAATCAAATTATATTTTGATGTATCTCCTTCTCTCTAAATAACCAAGGGAAAGTTTTTGTTGATAAAGGTAAAGTTAAAACACTTGTTGAGAATTAAAAACATATTTGTATTTCTACAGTTCATTTTTGAGAAGGTGCTTTGATATGAAGTAGAGAGCATAAATTATAATCTCAAAGACTCACCCTTAACATTAATAATTAGGAGTTTATCAATTGAATACCAAAATTTTTTCAAATTATATCAAGATTAATGTGGTCATAATTCCTGTACATCAATGAAATAGAAAGAAATACACGTAAATTAGAGATTCTCATTTAATGAGTTCCAATAAAGTTTAACCAAGAACTTCTCTCCATGTACAGATTTATTTCTGATCATCTACTGCTACTGAACAGGAAACTAAAAAACCACAACACTTACAAAGACAACTTCCTGTGGGATATCTGGTGTCTGCGGCTCAAAATGAAAGAAACATGGTTTGTGTAAAATCTTTGTAAATCTTAGTAAAACTTATTAAAGTTTTGACCTAATGAACAACTATATCCATTATCTACATTTTACATATGTATGTTTATGTTTCCATTGCAAAACAGATCTTCAGAAAAGCATCTTTGTTTTACTTTTGGTAGGAGCTATGCATTTATGCATGAACTGCTAAGAGGAAGTATTAGGACACCACAGTGGAGCATGAGGCAATCTTGATAAAGTTATAAAAGAAAATATATACAGAATCCTAAAAGTAGGAAAACTTTATCAAAGCACTATAAAATAAAAATATAAGTCATCCTAATATCACTCCTATGTCATATAATTAAAATTATATAAACTGCTTCAGAATTTTCCTCTGCCAATAAAGTTGTATAACAATGTTAAAGGGTTACCATTTTTAAGACTCAGAAAGCTTCTGGATTTAATACCAGTAAAATTTTTAAAAAACAGTTTAGGGTGGTAGAGGATTACCAACTCTTTAATCTTATTTTAAAATAAACATTACAAATTATGCACATTAGTTAAAATGGCAAATTTTATATCAAGTACATTTCACTACAATGAAAATTATATTCATTTGCCAGAGTTATTTCATTTTTTTAAAAAAAAGACATGTAAGCACTAAAATCAAGTCATTTTTTTATTCATTTCAGAATAAATGAGAGTATTTTCCTAAAAAGAACTCCTCCTTTGGATCCACCTTTCCTCTGACTTTGGCAAGGTGGAACTTTCTCTTAAGGGTCCTAAATATTATATAACCAGGCAGTTTGGAGGCTCCAAAAGCCTATAACTATTGAACCAGCCAGGCTGGCAAGCAGCTTCTGACTCATCTCTGAGCAGTGTTTCTTCTATTCTCTACAACAGCTATTATACATCTCCTATACTCTCCTAGTGATTCCTCATAGACCCCCATCCCCAACCCAAGCAAAAACATTTCTTTCCAGAATCCATAAAGAGAATAGAACTTGAAGAATGGAAACTCCCTTCCCTTCCTACTAAAACACTGACAGACCTATCCAGAGCACCTGCTTTTCTTCTCCTGGACTGGGAACTGAGGTTGGGCAGGGGTGGGACTGACCCTCCTGGTTGTATCCTGACTCCATTAACTTCATTCTCATTTTAGCCAAGTAAGTCCACCTCAGAATTCAAGCTTCTTTTAGTGTCTCCCATATTAAACCCAGAGGGCAAAAAAATAAAATAAAAACAACCACTGGTGTCTCCTGGCTACCTCCCAAGGTGTGTATCAGCGAAGGTATAAAGGGCCCTAGCACAGAAGTGTTCTGCAGAATGGCCTGCAACTGTGGTTTTAAATCTTAAAAATTTCAGTTTTGGATAAGTGTTTTGTAAATGAAAGTTTATGTGACAGTGGGGTGTGCACTCGGGACTTGGGGCTTCTGCTGTCACACATTCCTATATCTAGTCACTTGTCAGGAGGATTTCTGAGATATCCCATACTGTACCCTCTAATGTCCCTGCTGGTCTTCTTCCACCCTGTTCTACCACTTCTGTCCATGACAAAGATCTGAGCAAGGGGTGGGAACCAATGTGTGTACACCAGTATCTTTGATTGTACAAGAACCCCAGACAGGTAGAACCACTTCCTTTCTGGCGGTCAGCTGGCTGGAGCCCACTTCTTGGTAGGCCTCCAAGAGGCCTAGCAGAGAATCAGGAACCAAGATGTCTAGCCATGGAATTTTAACAATCCTCGGTGACTGCTGTGGGTTGGAGCAGGAGGCATGTGACTCAACTTCCCCAGACTTTATTCCTTGCAGGACATTGTAGACTTTTGAGGACACTCATCAAGCCAGCAGGCCCAACACATGTGCAAGTGGGACCCAGGGCCCTGGGTGGGTCTGTCATGCTGTGATTATGCTCCCCAAGCCTGACATAGCGTGCTCCCTGTACTAGTGCTGTGCCTGGGAATGCAGTCTTCTCTCTTACCTTCCAATCTCTCCAAGACTGGCTGATTTTGTCTCTTTTGGCCAGCTTGAGGCATACTCCAGAGACAAGCCACAAAGTATGAATTGTATAATTTCAGTATCTCCTCATATGAACTAAGTATTCAAAAAAACTGGTGTTGCACAAAATGAATAGTAAGATTCAAGCTAATAATTCAATTTTTTTTTTACTTGGAATGACATTAAATAGTAAATAAAAACATGGAAAGATATAGACTATAGGAGAAAAGCAAAGGCTACATGGTATATGTTCATTTAAGAGCATGTATTTCTGCTTGTTGAACAAGGAGCCCTGATGTTCATTTTGCACTGGGCCCCAGATCATATAGATAGCACAAAGCCCATCTCTTCTTTAGATGCTTTTCTAACAGTTTGTGACAGGCTTCTCAAGAGCTGCCGACCAGCTCTGGGTCTCTCTATTAATAAATGTCCAGACCTTTTGGAATCCCCCTTAATTTCACAAATAATACTGGTATACATTCCTTCGGTAAAAGGTTCATGTAAGATATATTTGAAAAACCAACAGGATCTCATCCACTGCATTTCCCTTCTGATTACCCAAGAAAATGATTATTTAAACCTAACCCGAAAGTTTGTTTCCAGATGGCTTTCCATGTTTTTATTTGTGTGTGTGTGTGTGTGTTTGTGTGTGCAAATAGAGGAATAGAGGAACAGATATATAAGAATATATGGTTTTGTGGTGTTTAAACAAATGATAGACATTATTTATGATTGTGAAATTCGTTTTTTTTTCCACTTAATATTTTGTCTTGGTAATTCTTTCAAACAATTAAAATCTGCCTCCTCATCTTAAAATAGCTTTCTAGAACTTAATAATATGAAAGTTTAGGCTGATTTCTGCTATTATAATGTTGAAATGAAAATTCTTACATATGCTTTTTTGACACATGTAAGTGTTTCTCTAGGAGAGGCATTCAAAAAGGAATTTTCTGGCTTGAAGGATATGCTTATTTAAAAAACAAAAATAGGCTTTTATAAAGTAATAAAAACATTTTAACTAGATACTGCCAGCTTGCGCTCCAAGAAAACCAAATCAACTTATCATATTTCCCCCCCACACACACGCCCATATGAACCCTTGAGAATATTAATCTTTTATATTTCTGTCCATTTAGTAGGCAGAAATGGCATATCACTTCCCTGATGCTGTCATTTACCCATTTTTTCCTATTAGGTTATTTATTTTATTGATTTGTTCACCTCTTTTATGTATCCTTTTGTATTGCATGCAGTCTAAGGCTTATCTTTTGGTCAAGTGTGTGTGTGTGTGTGTGTGTGTGTGTGTGTCTGTGTGTGTGTAAATAAAAAGTACTTCAGAATAACTTTAGTTTTACAAAAAAGTTTTAAAGAGAACAGAGAGTTCCTAAACATCTTTCCACTGACGCAGCTTTCTCTAAGGTTAATATCTTGCATAACTACAGGGCATTTGTTAAAAAAGAAAAGATTCTCATTGGTGCAACATTATTAACTAAACTGTATCAACTTCTGCCAAATTTAATTCTTGAATTTCTTTTACATTCTTCCGATTTTGCCAATTCCACCTACCCTCCAAATCTTGTGAAAACTATTTTGGTAACGTTGGTTTTGAGCTTCTAGACTTTTCGTGAGTTCAAGGTTTGAGAACATGACTGGATGAGGCAGAATGTAGATCAAAAAAGTCAGAGGACAATACAAACAGTACACATGGAATTTCACATTTCTTACTATGTTCAAGAAACTTTTGAGGGCTGGGGATGTGGCTCAAGCAGTAGTGCGCCCGCCTGGTATGCATGCGGCCCAGGTTCGGTCCTCAGCACCACATAAAAACAAAGATGTTGTGTCTGCCGAAAACTAAAAAATAAATATTAAAAATTCTTTCTCTCTCTCTTTAAAAAAAAAAAAGAAAAGAAACTTTTCTTTTTCTGAAGCTCATTTTTGGGAAAGAACTGCTGTAAGACATTTTCTGGATCTCAAATACTAGTGGAAATTACAAGAAACCTATCTACACCTTTTTATTTTGGTGTCTGTCCTCCAAAGATGGCAAGGAGAACCAAACTCATTAGATTAAGGGAGGGTGGGAATAAAATATTATTATGGTTTGGGTCCTAAATGCCCCTCAAAGATCCATATGCCAAAGAGATGGTCCCTAGTCTGGGGTACTACTGAGAGGTGGTGGAACCTGTAGGAGGTGGGGCCTAGCAGAAAGAAGTTAGGTCACTGGGAATGTCCTCTTGACTTGAAGGGGATATTGGAGCTTAGTTCTCCCTCTCTTTGCTTCCTGGCCATCATGAGGTGTACAGCTTTCCTCTACCACCTACTCCTGCCACAATATACTGTGCCACCACCTCTGAAACTATGAGCCAGTGATAAATATTTCCTCTTTTTAGGTTGTTTTTCTCAGATATTTTGTCACAGCAACAGAAAGCTAACAAGCACAAATATATTCCTTAAAAGAAGTCAAAGCCTTCCCCAAAGTATAATTCTTTTTTTAATATATTTTTTAATTGTAGTTTGACACAATACCTTTATTTTATTTATTTATTTATTTTTATGTGGTGCTGAGGATTGAACCCGGAGCCTAGCACATGCTAGGGCTGTGCTCTACCACTGAGCTACAACCCCAGCCTCCCCAAAGTATAATTCTTTTTAACAATATGTGTGTGTTGTAAAACCTTTATAACAGTCTTTTAAGATAAGCAAAATATGGAAAATTAATAGAATTTCATAAAATCCTCCTTCTAAAAGAGGTAAATATATTTTTATTTTTAAAATAGTTTTGTAGGGTACTGGGGATTGAACCCAGAGGCACTTTACTACTGAGCCACATCCCAGGCCTTTATATTTTGAGACAGACCTTGTTAAGTAAAATAATTTTTAAAGGGAATAAAATATATACACATATTTGCTGATATTTGTAAAAAGAAACTTTGGAAGGAAAACTAAAAACAGGAAGGAGAAGAAAGCAATTATATGAACATTTTCTATATATATCTTACAAATTATTTTAAGTTTGGAAACAAAGACATTTTATGTATTTAAAAAATAAAATGAAATAAAAATACAATATGTAAAAGCTGAAAACAAACTGAA